GCGGGGGCGGGGGCGGGGGCTGAAGCTGCGATTAAGATAAGCGCCCGTCTCTTTGCTCGAGTTCATCGCATTCGACCTGCGTGCGACTGTGGGGCCATCTTCAAATCCATAATCAGACAACAGGCATTCAACTTCTCTCCACGTCCTTGCACGTAGGTGTACAATTCAATCGCTCTGCTCTTCCTTTAACTCCAGCTAGAGCCTCCTTTCACGAACTCCGGATTCCACCCTATGTAGCTCCGTTAACGGTATACGCGATTCAGACATGTCTCAAGCTCAAGATTAATGCTCTGGTCAATTGGTGACTCACCGCAACGTCTTTGTGGATCATTGACCCATCCTCGCCAAGGCCTCTGTGTTCTGGTGGTATACATTGTACAATGATGCAGTGCGGTTGGAAGGCATAGGTGAGTAAGTATGATTGTTGTGAGCCTTGTCCTTAGAGATCACGTTGATAGCCTCAGCGCAGTAGACGGTGATCACCGCATCATTCTCGCGAAAGGCCGTAAAAGTGTACCGCCGGGCGGACTCAGCTCCGCTCCATTGAAGTCGGCAAGACGTTTGCGTAACGAAAAGAGCTGTAAACCGCACGATCATGGCGGTAGATTCCCAGCGCTCATGTAACTGCAGGCGATATCGTTGGCTTTCGCTATGAGGTCGTGCTATACTGCTACTCTCATTCATCAAACTCTCAAGCCTAAGCTAGAAATGCTTGCGAACACCGCTCTCACCCGGAGCCTCATCGCACTTCAGATCATGTTCTCGCGCTGGCGGTCGCGTTGCAACAGGGCGCTACTGTCCTGCCCCCGGGCTCGCGTCCGCCTTGCCCGTGGCGCGTAGTGTCAATGTCCCCGTTTATTTGACCTATGTAATGATATAAGGTTGGGCGTGCGACCCTCCTTCTGCCTCAGGGCCACCTCAACAAGCGGCCACCGTTCTTCCTCACCATGATTCTTCCACTGTCCCTGCTTCTGCTTGTCAGCTCTGCATACTCTTTACATGTACCACTGCAGCGGCGCGCTCAATCGACCTCAGTGTCGATAAACAGTAGCGCCAATGGCAATTTCGGCTTCACTGACATGGAAGGCTTTGCTTATACTGGTACAATATTTGTGCAGGGACAGCCGTTCCAGGTGGGCCCACTTGCTTGTAGTGATATGTTCCTAGGCCTCTTAGCGTTTTCATCTTTATCGTAGGTACAAATTGACACGGGTAGTGCGGACTTGTGGGTTGCCAGTCCAGAGAGCGCGTTCCAAGGCCTCCAGAACACAGGGCTCAACAGCACGACGGTATATGGGTAAGCTCTAGCATGATCATTTCCTGAAGTTTGCTCATTTGCGCATTGGCGAGAAGTTCGGGTAGCGTAGAGGCCAGTGGTCCAATTGTGCTGGGAGATGTTTCATTTGGAGAGTTTACCGTTCATGGGCAAGCTCTTGGTCAGTCACTGTGTTTCCCTATGAGCTAGCTGCTCAATGCATCCTACAGTAATTGCCACAAACCCTAATGTCCCTGGACAAGGTCAATTCACTGGGTTGCTCGGGGTTGCTCCGTAAGTGTCGCTCGGACAGCACTGGTCATTCTGTCAACGTTTCGCAGATTTGGCGCATCTCGAATTTGGCAAAAATCACAAATGAGCAATTCTACCTCCTTCGACGGAAAGCCGTTCATGTACAATGTTAGTCCTCCATTGACTTTCTGCCGTGTATACCCGTATTCACTGATCTGCAGCTCTTCTCATCTTATGACGTTGATTCGTCTTATATGACTTTCTATCTTTCTCGCTCGGAAGTTGGAGTCACACAGGGGGGTGTCATGACTATTGGTACGTCTTATAAAATGCGTGAGGAAACTTATTGACACAATATAGGCGAAATCGTGTCCAATTTCTCGGCTATCACGTCTTCGCCTCAGTTACCTCTACTTACTGACACCTTTTGGGCTACACTCATGGACGGTATCTATGTTGACGACCATTTCTACACCGGACATTCAACTGTGATGTGAGTAGTGTCAAGGGAGTTCGGCGTTCATAAACTTCATGTTCACAACCCACCAGACCGGATAACTCGACGTGGCACCAGTCGCATCCAAATGCAACGGCTGCAGTTCCGGACTCAGGAACCACGTTTGGTAAGGTTCCGCAAGGGTTCATGGTTTGTCTACGTACTTAGTCATTTTCATAGCGTGGGCACCTCAATACTACGTTGACGCTATTTACAAGAGCCTTCCCGGCGCTGTGTTCAGCTCGGACATCAACGGTTATATTATTCCCTGTGACACAGCTATCAACGTCAGTATGGTCTTCAGGTAAGTTGGATTTTCGAGTTCGAATGATTCTACCATTCATGTGTGACTGCAACAGCGGAGTCAAGTATCCTCTGGACCCTCTCGACATGTTGAATATCAACAATATATATTCAAATGGCACGCTCGTGTGTCAGGGCACGTTCACTTATGCACCAGATGTGGGCTTAGGTGCGTAGCCTGCGATATAGCCCAACTTTGATATTCTAACTGTTGAATTATGCCAGACTGGGTACTTGGCGACTCATTCATGCACAACGTCTACACTCTTTACAAGTATGCGGATGTCAACTCCACGAACCCAGCTTCTGTGGATCAATACTACCTCCAATTCCTCAGCGTAAGTCGTGGTCGAGAGCAGCCGGATACATATTAACTCAAAGTTGAATGTCTTCAGGTCACCAATGCAAGTGAAGCGTGGGCTACTTTCCCCAAGCGCAACCAGAAGCGGCTCGCCCAGCTCAGCCAACAACTCGAAAGCACTGCTACAGCTACTGTTCTAGTCGCGTCCGCGAGCAGTACGTACTCGCTGATCGCCTCCGACATCACAGCAACAGCGACTTCATCGAACGACGACGTTGCTGCCGCGATGAATGCAGCCTCTTCTAGCTCGCCAAGCACCGACTACAGCACGCTTAAGCGGAACAGCTATATCATCATCGGGCTCGTTGGTGGTGTGCTTGCACTCCTTATTGGCGTGGCGGTCTTGTTGTTCAAGCAGTTGGGGGCAAATTCAAAGTATCAGCGGATTGGTGGTGCAACTGTGCCTCCTGTGCCATTCAAGGAGACTTATGGGTCTGATGCGTATGAGCCGCCGTCAGAGTCGTTTAGGACGCCATATTCGGACCGTGGATGAAGAAAAGGTGTTCGTTTGATAGGCTGTGGAGTTCCCTGATTTTTAGCACATAATTTATTACGACATTCACGTCTTGCAGTCGATCTTTTGCTGAGGCATATATAGTATCAGAAGCCGTATTGTATTGGAGCATTATTTAAATCATATTGTGTGCTGAGTGGACTCGGAAGTCCAAGTAGTTTTTCCGTGCTTTTTGCATGTTTGAGGCTGAGGCCAGCTGTCCGGACAGTCGATTCTCATGGCTATGGGGATCAAGTACTCGAAATGACTCCGAATCTTGCGGCGGAACTTAGACGAGCTAATAATACCTGTGGCTCTGCCACTTTGGGAAAGCATCTTTTGTAAACTTCTACATAATACCTGGATTATAAACTGAGAAATAAAAGTAAAGTAGTTGGTGAAATCTTATATCTATAGCCTTCTAAGGTAATAATATTCAGGGTCTGTAGTATTGAATTCAGG